ATAAGTCTATGATATATATCCTAAGTCGCGCTTTCGAGACATGAAGAACGCAATTTGAAATTCGTGAATCGGCCCAGTAGAACGGAAGATATAGAACTGTCCCGTTTTTTTTTTAGCAGTGTACATGTGGTATGGAAGACCAGAATTTCATTGTTGGTTATATAAGTGTTGTACTGTTATATAAGTGTTGGTATATAAGTGTTGCTGTTAAAAACTCCGTCCCAATTTTATTGGAGAACCTCCTAGAAAATAGTCCGAGGGTCTCTCACGCAGCTTTTCCTACCACCAACTATTCGAGAAGATATTCATCTCGGCCTGTGTTTTGAGTATCCCTATGCCACGAAAATCACTACAATATGCCATTCCTTTCCTGGGTATCGAATTCGAGCCCGCCTATACAGTAGCCAGGAACACTAACCGCTATACCATCAGAGCCACCTTTATAGATGACCCTACGACTTCTTCCAATTTGATGAAGAATTACCCAAGGAATTTTGAGTATGTTCAGGTGTCCCTTTGCCGCAAAGGCACTATACGCTTAAAAACATCTAAGCCTTTTCCGGGGTTTTAATCTGGGTCAGAGGCAATAACTGTTAAACATAGAAAATGCCGTGGTTCGCAAAACAAATATTTATTACTGAGATCTGCAGAGATACACGCAGTGTTACATGCAGCAGAATAAGTAAAGCAAAGATAAATAAGATCATATGCTTTGTTATAGTGTCAGAGCGCGAAGCGCTCTTTTACTATGTTTCATATTAAAAATATCAGGAGTTAGAGTTCGTTGGTGAGCTGTCCGAGACTGGTGTTTGAGTTTAGAATTGAGGTGAGGCCGTTCTTCAACCGGCGAGGCGGTGGTGGCGGGGCCACACTAGTCTAGCAGTGAAGTGTGAGTAATTGTAGTATTTTTGTATGAGTGGTAGCTGTAGTGACGGTGTCAGTATTAATGCCTGTGTTATGGGGCAAGTATATGTGCTGGGTACCTGTGTTTTTCAACAGGGATTGGAGTATATCGAAGGTTTGATATTTCTGGATTATGATGGAATTGGAACTGATTGAAAGAAGTTGGTGGAAAGAGTTTGCGTATATATTCTGCAATGGTATTGATATTGAGATCTGTGTGAATGGTGTTATTTGGGAATAAACCAAGGTGCATTTACAATTTCACGAAGCATTTTGTTTTGAAGAATTTGTAGTTTTTTTAATGTGCATTTTTGCCGCTTGTCCCCATATAGGGCAGGCATAGAGTAGAGCAGGTCTGAGTATCATTTTGTAAAGTATAATTTTGTTGGATATGGAAAGTACACTGTGTCTGCCTAAGAGTGGCCGCATAGTGGCCGCTGTCATTTTAAATTTTTCTGTGACAGCACTGAAGTGTTGCCTAAAGGTGAGTTTGCTATCCAGAGTGATCCCTAGGTATTTCACCTCGGAGACCCATTCTATATCATCATCAAAAAAAAATTGGGGTGGTGCTGGGGTGTAATTCGAGGTACCTTTACGAAAGATGATTGCTTTTGATTTATTAGTGTTGATTGCTATTCTCCAAAGTGTGAACCAGTGCTCGAATAGGATAATGCTGTAATTGAAGTCGAATGTGATTTGTATGTATATTGCCCTCGTGAGAATGGCCGTATCATCGGCGAAACAGTGCTAGTGTGATAGTGTCATCTTTGGGTATGTCATATGTATAGATATTATAGAGTAGGGGGGAAAGAACTGCTCCCTGGGGACGCCAGCTGTGATGGGTCGTATGGAGGAGTGCGTATTGCGAATTTTGATGGTAAATGTGCGATTACTAAGATATGAAGCTATAAGTCGAATAAGATGATCTGGGAAGTCCAACTTGATAAGTTTGTAGATGAGTCCTTTATGCCATACTCTGTCAAAATGCTTTTGACACGTCTAAGAAAATTGCTCCTGTGGGGAATTTTGGCATTGTAACCATCTGTAATGTAATTGATGACTCTTAGAAGCTGATGTGTAGTGCTGTGTGAATGACGAAAACCAAACTGTTCTGAGGGTGTGTAATGGCTGACTGGAATGTTTTTGTGAATGAAATACAAAATAATTTTTTCCGTGATTTTAGATAGGCTGCTAAGCAGGCTTATTGGCCTGTAGTTCTGTGGAAATGTATTATTCTGTTTGGGTTTTGGGAATACTATGATAGATGCATTTTTCCAGGCTGATGGGAAATATGAGTATTTGATAATGGCATTGATGAGTTTAGTAATGTATGTAATTCCCATTTATGGGGAGATTTTTTAATGCCTTTATTTGGGATCCTGTCTTGGCCAGAAGGCTTTCTTATTTTTAAGTGCACTGATAAATTGTGCAACAAGTGTTGGTGTGGCAAGAAAGGTGAAATTTAGTGGAGCTGGAATGCCAAGATAGCTATCAACCACTGTGTTGACGTGATCAATATGATCATTGTCATAAGGGGCTGGATTTGGTGTAAAAGAGTCTTGAATGACATCTGCTATTGTGTTGGCTTTGTCAAGATCAGAGTAAACCATTCCCGACGGTCCATGTAAGGGGGGGATTTGCTTATAAGAGTTTTTGAGTTTACGAGAGATGTCGTACAGTGAGTTATCTTCAGTGGATAGTGTATTTAGAAAATTTGTCCATTTGCTGCTTTTGTACTCCTTGATTGCTCTTTTTATACTGTTTTGGAGTGAATTTAGTCTGCGTTTGGCCTGAGGGTCTCGGGTGTTTTTGCCAAGATTTGCGTACTCTATTTTTTATGATAATCTGCTCCCTTATGTTGCGTGGAAGGGGTTGGAAACGTCTGTTGACATAGAATGTATTAGTAGCGTCATTAATGGCTGCTTTGATCTGATTGGTGAATTGTTCAATTTCCTTATCAATATCCTCTTTATTATTAATGAGGGGGTTGCCTGGGACTGTACTGGAAATAATATTAGTAAATTTGGGCCAGTTTGTAACACCAATTGAGCGTAGTAGTGAAGGAGGGCTAGCATTTGTAAAAATTTTCAGTAATACTGGATTGTGATCTGAAGAAAGTGCTGGGATTGAGGTAATTTCATGCTGGTATGGAAAATCCCTTGCGATGAAGAAATCAATAATTGTCGATCTGTTTAGGGAGAAATGCGTGGGTTCTTCTGGTGCTAGCAGTGAGTAATGATTTTGATTAATGAGATCAAAAAGTAAGTTGCCGTTTCTGTTTGCTCGTCCAGGATTCCAGCTAGGGTGCTTTGCATTATAGTCACCTCCTGCTATTGATTTGGGTTTGGGTGTGATAAGTGATCAGGCTATTGAGTTCTGTAATGTTTAAGGTGATTTGTGGGTGGTATGTAAATATTGGTAATTGCAAATGAGGTATTGTCAATTGTGATAATGACGTTGACGTTTTCAAAGCTGTTTGTGAGCACTGGTTTTTTTTTTAAGTCTGAGATACTGCTTTTAACATACGTGATGACCCCGCCGCCTCGTCTTGAAAGTCTATCACATCTGTAGGCAAAGTAATTTGGATAGAGCGCCGTTCTGGCAGGCTTGAGGTTAGTCTCTTGCACTAACATTACATCCGGTTCGCGTTCTAATATAAGATCGCTTAGTTTCAACTGACATTCACCAGACGTCGAACGATGTGGGCCCCCACATCTCACACACACCCATTCTTTAGTGCATAATAATGAGTTGTGGAAGAACCCCTGGCACCTATAGCACTGGAGAGGTCCTGGTTTTCTTTTAAGTGCCTCTACGGTAACTCTGAGATAGCCAATGTAAGTGAGGTTGTAAATGGTTTTTGTTTTGCTCGTTTCTTGGCAAATGCACTAGAAAGAGCGGCATTGGTTTGTTTTCACGTCTATTTCTAAGATTAGTTATGTAGGTAGCTCCATATCCTTGATTTCTTAATTCTTGTACTATGTACTGATGGTCCATAGTAACAGGAAGTCCTCGTATGACAATTTTTAAAACCTTTTCATCTTGAAGTTGGTAAGTGTGTGTGATTTTAACTTTTTCTCCTTAATGACTTCTCTCACATATCTGTGAGCATCTGCATCAGGGAGAGTCACATGCAATTTGGTGCCTTTTAATTGGCCTGTAATTGTTTTTCCCCTGTTTGAACACTAAGCTCAGCCAGGAATTTATCAGCTTGAGGGACATCATCTATAATAATTGGCGGGACTCTGATTTTTCTACTGTTCGAGGGCTCAGGGGCCGCCGGATTATGTGTACCCTCACTTTCATTATCCATTTTTCCTCTCATTGTGTTGTTAATTTATTATTCATTTTTCATCATTGTTTCTATGTTTCTCAGTTCATTTCAGTTTTAGTCCACTGTATCTGTTAGCGGTTTTAATGGCAGGTTCAAGTTGTTCTGTGTCGGAGTTTGTAGAAGCCGAAGAACGGCGCCTATGTCTTTTACGTTTGCTCCTTAAATGGTTCTCCATGTAAGGCGTTCATTAAAGTGGTCGACTTTTTGTTCTAATTCTTTAATTTTTGGTCTCACGATATTCAATTTCAGTAATTGCTTGGTGTTATTCCAATACACGTGTTTTGTTTAAAATGCATATTAGAAAGTGTTGTAGTCTATGTGAAGCATGATACGTAATTGTTTCACTACTTAATATGTGTTGGGCTCGTATCTCCTAAGTTGCGTTTTCGAAACATGAAAAAAGCAATTTGAATTTTGTTAATCGTCCCAGTAGAACGGGAGATAGAACTGTCCCATTTCTTTTCACAGTGTACAATTTGTATTTAAAAGGTATATTAAAGATCTGTGGAATGAAACCCCTGATGATTGGGAAGTTTCCAAGAAACGTGGTTGAATAAACCAAAGATCTTCCTTCATAGTATAGCAACATTTGACGGAGTGACTGGGTAATAAATTATCTGGTGGCATTATGTAAGGTATCATTTAGAAAAAAGTTAAAGTAAATCTTTATGTACATTTAATTATCAGAATCTTCCGATTGCTGCCATTATAAAATAGACGTTATTTTCCCATTTATATAAATATAACAAGCAGCTCTATATACCTCAGGAAGAAAAACGGTTCCACAGATAACCATCCATTATGTATTGCCTCGAAATCAAGGCTGTTGAACCAATTTGGAATTAGAGATGGTCTTCCTATAAAGATATTGAAATTCATTCAAGTACTCATACAATAAATGAAACCAAATATTTATTTAGTCAATGAATTATATTTCTAAGCAAAAGTACTATTATTTTTAGCTCATCTTTGGTTTATGATCTAGTATCATAATTTATGATCTTTTGGGAATCATTCCTGATTTAAGGTTTTATTCATGCTATAAAGAAAATGCATTTATCCAGTCAATTAATTATATTCATAATTTTATTCATGAAATAAAAATTATTGCGTGAATGAAATACCAATTACATTTATTATTTTATTCATGCAATAAATAGATACACACTTTTGAGTACATTAATTATATTTAAACATCTCCTAATACAATTTTTAAACACATATATTTTATTCATAATCTAGTGTCTTGATTTACGATCTTCTGTAGAACATTCTTGATTTAAGGTTTTATTCATACTATAAGAAAATGAATATATTTATCCAGTCAATTAATTATATTCATAATTTTATTCATGTTATAAAAATTATTGCGTGAATGGAACACTCATTATATTCATTATTCTATTCAAGGAATGAATAGAAACACACAGTTCAGTCAATTAATTGTATTTAAACACCTCGAATATTATTTTGTACAGATAATTTTGATTTACGATTTGATTTCTTTATTTATGATCTTGTGTAGATGATTCTTGATTTAAGGATTTATTCATACTGTAAGAAAATTAATATATTTAGCCAATCAATTAATTATATTCATAATTTTATTCATGCAATAAAAAATTATTGCATGAATAAAATTATGAATATAATAAATTATTGCGTTAATAAAATACTCATTATATTCCTTATTTTATTCATACAATGAATAGAAACACACACTTCAATCCATTAATTATATTCAAACACCTGTAATACAATTATGAAACATATAGTTTTGATTTACGATCTAGTGCCTTGATTTACGATCTTGTGTAGATCATACTTGATTTAAAATTTTGTTCATGTCATAAGAAAATGCATATATTTATCCAGTCAATTAATTATATTCATAATTTTATTCAGGCAATAAAAATTACTGCGAGAACAAAATACTCATTGCATTCATTATTTTATTTGTACAATGAATACAATGAATACCTCAGGATTCATTACTCATTGCATTCATTATTTTATTTGTACAATGAATAGAAACACACATTTCAGTCAATTAATTAAATTTAAAAATCTTTAATGTAGTTTTTTACCCAGATAGTTTTTCTTTTTGATCTACTCTCTTGATTTATGGTCATTTTTGATTTAAGGTTTTATTCCTACTATAAAGTAAAAGCATATATTTATCCAATCAATTAATTACATTTATTAATATCTATAAAATTATTTCGTTTAGATAAGTCTTGGTTTATGGTCCCTTGATTTTATACAAATCCCCTGAAACCTAAAAACAGTTCTCGGGTTCTACAGAATCGACATTGTCTGAATGTGAAATTCGATGAAGAAAACGAAATAAATATGCTTACTTAATAGCTGAAAATTCGACCAGACGTACGTATGTCCTAGAATAACCCACGCCATGCTTAAAGCTCTCAATCCGTGCAACGCCTTCAGCTCTTCAGAGCCTTTGGAAGAGCCCATCAGTCGTTGATAGTTCGAAATGAATGAGAAACATTTGAACATTTCCTCGTGGGGTCCTAAAAATAATAATAATAATTCTTAATATTATCCTCCAAAAATAAATTAGAAGTTTGTACTTGATCCGTTAATGCTAATTAGTCTAAAATATAAAATATAACTGAATTTAACGTAAAAATTTTTATTTAACCTAAACCTTTAGGGGTTGACAGTTAGGGCGTTAATTTTACATAGATGGTTCATCAGATGAGACTACCCAACATGGTGGAGCCAGTATTCACATCACTTTACCAAATCTAGCAATTATACTCCAAAGCCATGAAGCATAACTCAAAAAAGGATTAGCTGTAGAAAGTTGAACTTTTGTATATGGGACTATTACGACATCTAGTTGTGCACTATTTTTATTGCAACATGTGTATGCCATATTTTAATTGCGTTGAAGACACCGGTACGTTTAACCTTCGATACTCGTCATGGCTGAGGGTAAAGGCATGAATAAGATGTTGACTAAACTAGTTTCGGCGAATCATCATCTTTATTTTCAAGCATATCAAATCATTCTTTTGCAGACGAGATATTTTTTAATGATAGTTGAATACAATAATTACCATCTACACCGGTTTTAAAGTACGACATTATCTTAGATAACCATTCGCCGAAATTAGTTTTGTCAACATCTTATTCATGCCTTCTCCCTCAGCCATGACGACTATCGAAACTTAAAAGTACCGGTGTCTTCTACGCAATTAAAATATTGCATAACATGTTGTAATAAAAATAGTGCACATCTAGAGCATAGCAGCAACGGTTTTGCGTGTCAGGAGAAGTTAAGAACAAGAAGCGACGTAATTGCTAGTGAAGTAGTATTTATACTACGTAGGTGCATAAGTACAACTAAGCTGTGGTTGGTTAATTTTAGGTTTTAGTTACCTTTTTCAAGCAGCGTTATGTAACATGGAAAGATCCCAAATTTGGGAGAACAGATGAACTCAGGGGGAGAACATAAAATTTAGAATAGACAATTTTAAGGTTGCCAGTTATTTCTTAACTTACCGTATTTAATTACATATTTATTACGTATTTATGGTACTTTATTATGCATTTATTACATATATATAAAGGCCGGGTATTTGGTAACGTATATAATCAAATATCCGGCTTTTATTTTGGCAATCGTTGGGTTAGTCACCTAGTTCCGATTACAGAAGTATTTTAAATGATGGAAATGTTCAGGGTCAAATCAAAAAAAGTAATAATATTTGAAAAATCTTACATTTAGTCCAACTTAAAGTTAGTTAACAACTTTAACTAAAATCTAATATTTAATGCGTTCTTCCGGTTCCTATACTTATATTTTGGAAAGTATTATTCTCGTTATGAAAAAATAAAATTAGAAGAAATTTAACTCCCGTAAGACAAAAATTGCCAGCATTATTTAATTCCTAAATTTGCAACTTTTGATGTCATTTTCGTCTTGCGTTGAGGGATCAGTTAAGTTCTGAATAATTCCAAGAAGTAAGTTTAAATGAAGTTCAGTAAAAAATGTGTATAATTTAATATGCGTACAAGGAAATCATGAGGTGTCCATATCAGATTTTTTATTACTAAAAATAGAATTTTCTAATCATCGATTAAACACAATTAACAGCCTGCGGTAAACAGCACAAACTGAGTGAGAAAATATTTCCAAAGTGAAATTTAAAAAATGCATTATTCACCAATGTTCCAGTGGAGGGTGCATTAAGATGTTTAGAAACCAGACTTCGCGAATTTCATTTCTCTTGCATCGAAATTGATGAGCTAATTTCTCTCACTCAACTCTGTTTGAAACAAACACATTTTGTTTTCCAAAATAAATATTACAAGAAAACTGAGGGATTAGCCATGGGAAGCCCCCTCAGTCCCATTCTGACTGATATCTACATGCATTATTATGAATCAAAATTGTTTGAAACTTGAAAGTTCTCGGCATGGTTCCGCTACGTAGACGATACTTTTACCCTGTTTGAAGGTAATAAAGGTGATTTAAATAAAGTTCTTTCAACAATGAATTCTATTGATCCTGCTATTCAGTTCACTTTTGAACTTGAGACTTGCAATTCTCTTTCGTTTCTCGACATTCTGGTCACACGTAACACTTCCAACTTCAGTACTACGGTTTACCGTAAACCTTCATCGGTTTGCCTTCCACCACACTTTAAATCATGTCATCCGACTAAACAAAAGTTAGCTTCATTTTATTCCTATGTTTTCCGTGCTCTTCAAGTTTGCTCCTCCAAACTAGCCCTTGATGAAGAATTAAATTATTTAAAAGCAATAGCTATTGACAGGGGCTTTTCACCCAACATTATTAATCCAGCAGTTAAAAAATTCTCATCTAAACACACTAAAAGGCACACTCTTGTTTTAGGATGTTATAAGAATTCTGTTGTCATTCCCTTCTTTCCATCAATTAGCTATAAAGTTGCACATATTTTGCAGAAATTTAACTTTTGGGTTGTTTATTCTCCCATCAATAAAATTCCGAATTCCATACTCAAGGACCCCATTCCGGATATGAATTCTTGGGGTATTTATAGGATTCCTTGCCAGTGTGGTTTGATTTACATTGGCCAAACTAGGAGAGCCTTAAAATTTCGCGTCGAAGAACATGAGGCATATGTTAGAAAAAAGAAACACAGAAGTCTTCTGTCGCTCAACATTGTTGGTCCGAAAATCACACTTTCAATTTTTCTGCTGCCAAAATTATTCAAAAAACATCTTCCATTGGAGAACTAGATTTTCTAGAGGCATTTCACATTCAAAAAAATCTTTCTGTTCTAGTTAACGACCCTAATTTCAATCCATCTTTGCCTTCAGCCTTTAAACAAATTATGTTTTAGTTCTGGTTTCATCAACAGATGGTGCCACTTGCTTATTCTTGTCCAGTCTTTCTTATCTTATCTAATTATTATTTCCTATCTTGTTCATTTGCGGTTTTGCAGCTGAGGATGGTGGTTCGGTAAAACCATCGCACTAGATCTGTGAAAAAAATTTTGAAAATATAATGCTGATTTTTGTTGTTTGACTTCTGAATTAATAGTACAATTTCTCATAGTAAACATTAGATAATATTGCTTACATTTTCTTATACTGCCATTTTTTATTCATAATTAGTCATTTTAGGCATTTTATTTTAAATGTCAGTTTGAGAAAATTGTGGAGTGGGTACACCTACCCACTCCACAATTTCTCCACAAAACTCCACAATTTCTCCACAATTTAAAGATCTACCCACTCCACAGAGTGAATTGGAACCCAAATGTACTGCTTATCAAGCCAATAAGAAATGCCAATACTTTTTATACACATACAGCAATCAGCAACTCATAAAGCTTTACACACTCTGGAATATTTCCCATTAGCCACTTCTGTTTTTATATATATATATATATACTGCTTTTTAATTACAAATTCGATAAGCTCATTTTCTTTCTTTGTAGTTAGATCGGTTCTGTTAGATTTTTCTTTACTGAAATTAACAAAATCAAAGTTCAGTTTTCAAGCTCATATGCATTTATTCGGCTGAAACGTAACCTATATAGATAGTTGGAGTCTTCAAAGAGGAATATATTATATATTTCATTTTTACTTACTCAATCGTCTGTCCTTTTCTTTAGATGCTTTGTGTTCAATTATGGATCCATATAAACATGCAAGGAGAAGCAAACTCAAAATAAATCTGAAAATGAAAGTTGTATGTATAAGTACACTGCGCAAGAAGAAAAGGGGGGCTGTTTTATATCTCCCGTTCTACTGGACCGATGGACGAAATTCACATTGCGTTTTTCGTGTTTCGAAAGCACGATTTAGAATATATATTAGATCTATATATAGCATTGCTCTAGTATAGGTATTTTGACACAAAATCGGACCTTTTTCTGAAATGAAATGCCAATTTTTATCCATCTTTCGATTCTACGACACAAATGATGCCAAACTGCCAAGTTTTGTAAAAATCGCACGAGTCGTTTTTAAAAAAGTTAGCTCTCAAAATTTTAGCTCCTCCATGTTAATTGAATCTTGCATATATTTATTAATATCTCTTTTTCTACTAAATTTATTTGATTCTTCCTTTCATATTTCAAAATTTAGGTTCATTCCAGATAAAATTCGTCCACTTTTTATGATTTAGTTTTAAAATTTGTATTTTTAAATAATTCTTATAAATTTTAGGAAAAACATTTTGAACTATAACCTATAAAATGTTTAAGATCGTCTTAAAGCAGATTTATTTCTAAGCATACCTGCAAAAAATTAGAATTTTTTATTCACAATTTCCTAAGATATACGTCAATTTACATATTAGCGTGATTTGAAATTTGGCATATTTGTTATAAGCGAATATAATGCCAAATGTGGTTTACGCATTTTGTTAAAATTATTTGAAAGTATGAATGATAACTTTTTTTCCGCTCCTCTATAATGAAAAAAAGGAAAGGAAAATAGGTTGCTATAAATTAAGAAGTCCACCAAGTGAATTATTCTTGGCGTAAATTGAAAAAAAAAAATGACCCAAGATAAATTTTTGAATTTCTTCATAAATTTCTCACGAAATTTTACAAAATTTAATATTTAGTCATAATTTGAGTCGTAGAATCGAAATATTGAAAAAATTGGCATGTCATTTCAGAAAACGTCCGCTTTTGAATCAAAATATCTATGTTAAAACAATGATGTATATAAATCTAATATATATTTTAAGTCATCGTGCTTTTGAAACATGGAAAACAAAATTTGAATTTCGTCATTCGGCCCAGTACAACGGGAGATAAAAACCGACTTTTTTTTCGTAGTATACATACAATATTCTGACAGTTTGATACTCAAAGGCACTCAATTTTGAAATTTAATCTCAGACACATTCGGGAATTTTTGCTTAGTGAATATGTAGAGGTTATTTTAAGTTTCTAACAGTTATTTTATGTTTAAACATGCTTCACTGCCTATTCTCGTTTCCCATCTGTTATTCCCTACCAGAAGTTTTTAGAATCGCGTTGCATGCAAATAAGTTAGAAGGAAGGTTGAGCTTACTTAGGGAGAGAGAGCTTAGGAGTCCTTAGTGGCACATGTTTGCAGTCAGGCTAATTCATTCTTAAACCTACTATACTCGGCCGTATTGTACATACTGTTAATCGCCGGCTAAGTTAAATAAAGGGTCAACTACGTTAGGTATCTGTGTCTAGCTTCGGATAATTCTATTTAATTTAGTATTAGATTAGTTTCTTATTTTCTTATCTTGATTGATCGTAAGCACGAGAAGGGGCCATCTGTTATTATTTCTTTGAATGAATAAAAGGGTATTTTAACCGTGTCGTTAAATACTCGAACTCAGAAATATGTCACTATCTAGTTCACAAGGTTCCTGTACGTTCAGCATAATTAAAGTACTAAGGAACATTATAAATATAAAGAGCAATTTTATAAAATTTCGCAGTGGTGGACAGTAGTTCAAAATGCAGCTGAAAATGAAAGTTGTATGTATAAGTACACGGTTAAAATACTTTGACCCATTAATATTCAAAGACACTGGATTTTGTAAGTTAATATCAGTCTAGGTGAGATTTTTTCCACAGCAAATATAAAGAGTACTTTTTTAAAATGTCATGGTGGTGAGGAGGAACTATTCATAAAGGTGAAAAAATGTTGCCGACGCCTACTCTAGATATTAAAATACTAAGAAATAGTACTTTAAAATACTAGTTGTTAAAATAACAAAAATTAATTAGCTTTAAAATTTCACATTTTTTTTAATATTTAGTAATTTATACTTCAATGACTCTCGGGGGAGCCTGTAATCCCTAGAGAGCGCGTCCCCAGGTGGCGGATCGGGGAATGCCTCCATAGGTTTATCCTTGGGTGGTAGGAGGGAAATAAAATACCTCCCGCGGACCAACAGGCAGAAGTCTAACCTCTTCGAGGCTCTGGCAGCTTCTTTTTCTATGAATTGTGCAATATCTGCTAGTCAACATGCTACCGCTTCCGGGGCAGCCGACGCGACGCGACCTGCAGTCCGGGGACGCGTCGAGAAGTTAGCTACGAGGACAGTGAACTTTCCACAGCTAAATATTAATGGAACCCAGAGAAAATTGGCTGAACGCTCAGACATTTTGTTTTCCAACAATATTCATATTGCCTGCCTGCAGGAAACAAAACCTTAGTCTAAAAATTAAAGGGTATACAACAATCAGAAGGGACAGGCCAAACAGCAACGGAGGAGGAATAGCTTTTCTTGTAAAGATACCAGAAATTAAATACGTAGAAGTCCTTTCAACTTTCCTGTCAGACACCAGCACGGAGGCTCAAACAATAAATGTCCTTCTTCCGGAGCACACTATCACCGTGATTAATGTTTACCATCCCAACAATTCTACTATTGATACAGACCTCCTTCAGGATCTGGCATCTTCAAACTCAGAGACAAAAATCATATTGGGAGACTTGAATGCCAAGAGCCCTTCTTGGGGCAGCAATCTGCTGGATTCTAAAGGAACCCAAGTTGAGGACTTAGCAGACGACTTGAACTTAACCATCCTCAACACAGGAGAAAATCCCTACATCTCTAGAACAAATGGAACAGCGGCTGCACTTGACATCACCGCCATTAACCACCTTTCAGCAGAGAACGTCCATCGCAATCCAAGCGCTCATGGAACTTCCGTAAAGCAGACTGGCCTGGGTTTACCCGAGAACTTCAGTACCTAACCAACAGTCTGTAGTAACCTTGAGGAACTTCTCTCTTTCTGTACTAGCCGCATCCAAATCGCAGCAAAACATCACATCCCTAGAGGAATCCATTTTGGAAGGATTATAACATCGAGGCACTTATAAAGGAAAGAGACCAAACGAGTAAAGAACTTCAAAGCAACAAGTGTGAGGAGATAAGACGTAAACTTATAGAAGTAAGTCAAAAGGTGGAAGAAGCCATCTCGGCTAGCAAACAAGAGAAGTGGACAGAGCTGTGCGAAAAACTTGACCCAAGAAAAGGAACGTCCCAATATTGGAACTTGATTAAGGCTCTAAACAACTCAAGCAGTCCAGCAGCCAACATACAGGCGGAACCTCAGTCGAATGTGATCTCCACAAACGGCTCAAATGCCAGAACAAACAAAGAAATAGCAAACTTACTTGCTAAGCACTACGAAGCTTCTAGCAAACTGCAGTATACGACAGGAGACAAAAAAGTTAATAAAAAATACCTATCTGTTATTAAAAGAAGCAGGAAAACGACCGACAACAGCATCTTCACATCTGACTTTGATCCTGAGGAACTGGAATCTGCAATAAATAGCCTGGATCAAAAGAAATCCCCCGGACCAGACCTCATTTTCGGACAAATGATCACACATTTTGGTGAATATGCCAAAAGAGACTTGCTGAATATCTTTAATATCTCATGGCGCTCTGGTAAGTTACCCAAATCCTGGAAGAACTCTGTAATTATTTCCATCCTAAAACCTGGAAAATCTGCAAGTAACTGCACTAATTACAGATCACCTGCATTCCGTGCAAACTTATGGAGGGCATTATTCACTCTAGGCTGATGAATTGGATCACAGAGAACAACATTTTGTACTCATATCAGACTGCATATAGAGCCAATCACAGCACCGTCGATCAGCTTTTCTACCTTTGCCAATCGATTATTGACGGCTTTCAAAACAAACCCCATAAGAAAACCACCATGGTTCTTGATCTTTCTGCTGCTTTCGACAGAGTCTGGAGGCAGAAACTAACCAACCTTTTACACGATACAGGTAATACCTCTAATGCTCTAATCTGGATTAATGATTTTCTAAGGAAAAGAAGCTTTATAGTCAGGGTTAATGGCAGTTTCTCCACCACTCACCATACCCGGGCGGGAGTTCCTCAGGGCTCCGTACTTAGCCCTCTTCTTTTTCTTCTATACATGAATACGATTGACCCCCACATCAGTAAAGAAATCAAAGTTGCCTGTTATGCCGATGATGTTGCAGTCTGGCACACCCACTCAAATCTCGAAGTCTCACAAAAGGCTCTAAATATCTGTATGAAAGGCATTGAAATCTGGTCAAAAGATCTTAAAATTAATCCAGATAAAACAAACTTTTGTGTCTTCTCAACAGATAGAAAAAATAGAAGCTCGTTTCATCCTATTATAAAGCTATTAGGTTCTGAAATCAAACAAACTTCTAACCCCAAGTATCTTGGACTGACTCTAGATGCAGAGTTGAGATTCTATAAACATCTTAAACATGTTTCAATAAAGGCACTGAAAAAGCTAAACATCCATAAAAGACTTTGTGGTGCCTCTTGGGAATCAAGACCAAAAACCCTCAAGAATACTTACACTTCCATCGTCAGGCCTGTTCTAGAATACGCAGCACCCATATGGAGCATCGGCAAGGCCTGCTGTTAAAGGAAAGATCGACGCTGTTCAATATAGGGCCTCTAAAATCATCACTCGAGCTGTTTCATCAAAGAATAACATCAAAATTGAAAAGGAATGCGGCCTCGCCCCCTTGGAGAGCAGAAGAAAATTAATAACAATTAAATTTACCAACAAAATACAAACCCTTGCTGAACATCATATCTCAAGTAGAACCTTCAGGGCATGGAATGACAATTGCAGGCTTAAGAGATCCTCAACTTTCCAACATGACCAAGATATCAGAAATGACATCAACCTCAAATATGAGACTCTCAAAATTTCCAAAGAGCCTTACAACATTCTGTGCCCTCTTCCCCAAACAAAAATTTATTTAAATCTCTTACGGCCTTGTACCAAGAAAGATCCCACCGCAATAATCAAAGAAAAGGGTGATCATACCATTGAGAAACTCACGACCTTAACTCAAGATCTGACGATCGCCTACACAGACGGCTCTTCCAACTCAATCCCGCTCCTCCTCTGTTCAGATTGGACCAGACGAAGTGCAGAAATGTTACAGTATTTCTCTTGGGAAAATCGCCTCCAACTATACATGCGAGCTCGTCGCCATCAAAAGTGCTCTGGAGATTTATCTCTCTAAAGAAGACCAGAGTTCCAAGGGAATCATCATCATCTCTGACTGCAGATCAGCATTGCAAGCCATCCAGAAGGGCAAATGGCAACTCAGTCATCAGATCATTGGGCTCACAAACAAAATCATTGCTGCCCAAAGATCCTGCATCTTACAATGGATACCGGCTCATGTAAATACTTTTTTGGTAATGAGAAGGCCGATGAGCTTGCAAAGGCATCCCATGATTCTCCTCAGCCATCCAACTGCCTAACCCTCGTTGATGCCAATGCAGTTGCCAGCCAAAGACTAATCGGTCAAGTTAAAGGAAACTCCATCCCGGAATTGAACTGTGACAGAGCCATATCGACTATCATAACCAGACTTAGGACAAATCTCTTAAAAGGGATAGGGATTTCTGCAGACGGACAGCGTAGTTCCACCAACATTTGTCCTCATTGCCCAGATGACATCCCACTGTCTCGCCATCACATCTTCAGCTGCCCAGCAATCCAGACCAGACTGTTTAACATCGGCATTGAAGACCCAGTGGGCCTACTTTATACTGATAAAGCTGCCGAGGTTGCAAAAGCTGTCTTTTACAGCTTCGGAGCTATATAATTGCACTTTGTCATAGACACGACATCATCATCATCATCATCATACTTCAATGTTCTTTTCTTGGCAAAAAGTGAGTAACGTTTCATAAAAGTATCACTTATTTCTTTTATTAAAAAAGACCAAAGAATAATTAATCCCTTTATTAGAAAAGGCCCAAAAATAGTAAATAATAAAAGCATTGGAAAGGTGAAAGCAAAGTGCATATTTCATTTCTACTGTTGCCTGATTTGGCAAAATTGTGCTACAGAAATTGTGAAATTCTTGAATGTAAGTTATTTTCAAAATATTATCCTGAAACAAAAGTTACAGGAATTATCAAATTCTTTAGTCTAAGTTATTTTCAAAATATTGAACTGAAAATCCTCTTGATTTGTTTTCAGCTTTTAAGATTTGATTTGTTTTCAGCTTTTAAGATTTGATTTGTTTTCAGCTTTTAAGATTTGATATAGAATGATTCTAAACTAGGTCTTGGTAACCTATAACTCACGTGTCACAAAGTGATTCATTTCATAATTTCAAGTGCCCTACTTGAGATCCGAAAAGAAAGTATAATATATAAAAAATAAATTATAAAACATAAATATGAAACGAAAACTTGAAGAATACATAAACAATAAACTCAAAATAAATAATATTAAAAAGAATATAAAAAAAACAATCTGAAGGCTTATAGATTTTACATTACGTCCAAAGGGGCGTTTTTTAACGTTTTGTATGCTAGCTTTATTTGTTAAGTATCATGCTCTATTCACTTAAACCATACAATTAAACTCAAAAGCAATATCGAAAAATAATTTTAAAACAAATGAGAGTATCTTTAGAATTTCCGATACACAGACTGGCGCGCTGGAGATAATTTTTTAATTTTCGTACGGTGTTGCCATTGCTTGCTTTGAAATTGTTGAGTTTCTTAATAAAAATTCGTAAACGTGTTACAAAATATGAAATCGATAAAAAAAACAAATTCCAAATTGCTAATTAGGGCTTCCAGATGCCCATATTCAGTAGGAGATTAAATTATTCAAAATTCGGTGGTTCTAGGTACCTCTGTTTCATCACAGTGCGAGAAACGTATATGCATTTATGCATATTCTTCGATATTTAATTTCTTTAAATGTAATTCAGGGCGATAATATTTGGTGGCAACAATTTGAAATGTGAACCGACATTTATAGTGAACCAACGCAAAATACCAAAACAAAATCAATAGTCCTAGACAAATTGCCTCTTTGGACTTATTGTATTGTTTGAGTAGAAAGTTGCAATAATGAACATGCATTTTTAAAATGTGTAGCATAATTTCAAAGAGAAATCGGTAAATTTAGCAAATCCGATCCATAATCTATAATTCCAAAAAATTGGCTTTCCCATTTTGTCCGCATTTGCCTCAACTTATAAATACGAGCGAAAACTTTCATACATGAAATTTATTTTAAGTAAGAATAGACTAGCTTAAGCACCGAAAATTCAGATGTTTGTATTCACCTTTAGACGATGAACTCTAAACCAGACATAAATAAAATATGGGCTATAGTTAGACGTCAAAGGTTTAGCATTAGGAGAGCCATTGATATCGAAGAGAAAACGGTCATTCAGTTGCGTTTCTTTTTATAGCATAATTATAATTATAATTTTATGTTTTAAAGCATATTGGGATGATTTTCTCATAAACTCTATCTTGTTATTCACCAAAAAAGACTTTTAGCGGGAAAATACTTCTGACTCGGAACGTCTTCTTAATACACATATTTAGATTGATTTTGACCCAAGAAAATAAAAGTTTGCAATCGCCTGTTCTGGGCATTAATATACTGGCCACTAAAGTTGCCAAGACTAACAGAGAAAAATTATTTAAAAAAAACATTTTCAAATTTTTGATAGATTTAATAATTTATATTAGAATGTTCTTTTTTGGCAAAAAGTAGTTAACGTTTCATAAAAATCTCAATTATTTCTTTTTCTTTAGTGTAAAATTATAATATGTTTGGTTTATTATTGTAATTGCAAAAAAGGTAACTTACATCACAACTATGTGAATGGGTCGAAATGTAGCACTTTCTTTAACATAGCATTGAGGAATCTGGATATTCATCTGAATGGCTTTGCTAACTAAAACAGAAAAAAGTATTCTTAAATTAAATTTTGCTCTACTTCATTCATTTGCTATAAAGTTTAAGCGCGTTTCTATTAAGTACTAAAAACAATGAGTTAATAATATTAACAGAAAATTTTTTAAGTGAAGAAATATAAGCAATTTAGTTTATGCGTTACTTGTAGCAGTTTTAATAGACATCTATTAAAATACTATACCCTTATGAAATCTGTTACTAGATTTGCGTATAATTTTATGCAAAGTCATTATAATATCGTCTTCTTAAACAAAAGATGGCCCACCAGTGGCCGAGCGGTAAAGTTGCTGAACACTGGTAGTTCGGTCCGAGGTTCGAATCCCGCGAACGGGCTGGCTGCATGGGCGTTTTCGTGGTTTTCCCCATGTGTAACGTATATACGAGTCAGTTTCCCTTAGAAAGTCCTCCAAGAAGGCATCCCTCCCCTTAGGCAGATAGCCCTAATGTGCTTTGCCATAATTAAATACACCACACCATCTTAAACAAAAGATAATTAAATTATGGATAATTAAACTTTAAGATAATACATCACAATTTAAGTAGTTATACTCTTTCGTGGATTTCGTCCTCTTAAGATTAGGTTAGGTTAGATTATTTGATTAACGCAAAGCAACTCGAGCGCTATCTGGCTATAGGGAGATATGCCTTCGTGGAGGACTTTTTAAGAGAAACTTGCTTGTGTCCACGCGTCTTCTTAAGGAAGTGATGTTCTGCACTGATGTTTATTTACAGGGATACTGTTCAGTTTCAAAAGTGCACACAACGATTAGGTTCACCGTATCTAAATCTCATGCGTTCAAGATAAAGCTCTCTTCCGATTTATAACATGCAATATTAATTCTATCTCTACTATGAAATAATGAAGAATCTGTAGATAAATTTTTAGCATTGCGGAGAAGCGGAAGTACTTATAAGCATCCAGTCTTGATCATACGTCGTTCTCCATCTGAATACGTCCACCTCAAAGTCAGCGTTGTGAATTTCGAATTTGTTTACTTTTTTCGCATTTTGAATGAATTTAATGGATTCTTGATTATTTACTGCGTATTTCGAGCAAACTTAACAAAATTTTGAATAACAAACACAGCGGTTTACAAGCAATGTGTTGCCACTCGGCAACGTTTAAAATATTAGGCTTTAGAATTTAATCCACAGACGCAATGACATGAAAAAGACTGTTACGACCCGGCGAAGCGTAAGATGCTTGTCTTTCAAATTTAATCAACATTATCAGAGAAGCGATTTAAAGGCAATGTGTTGTTTCTGCCAGAAATAAAACATTTTAACCTTCCACGCGATAGTGTGTTGCCATTCATCAAAATATAAGATATTTATTTTTTGTTTAAAATTGAATCAGTTTGTTATTGATTAACAAACTAAGCCATTTAAAAGCAAGAAATGCAATTCTTCATTTCTACTAATTAGTAGGGAAAAAATATAATACTATAATACTTTTAATGAGTACAGTTAGTGTCCGGTCTACCTAGTAATTACTAGTTTTTTCTTTTCTTTCATGTAATAACTACTTTAGGAGATTAGCCGCACGAGTGGTTATTTTAAGAAAAGAGAAATTATGGAAAAATTTAGTTCGCTGTGTACTTTTGCTGTTCAATTATTCAATGTGCTATTAAATGTTCCTTTTTGTCATCAGTGTCGATTTTACAGACCCTCGCTGCATATTGATATCAAAGTTTTTGTTTAAGAACACAAAGTTCGATTTGTAATTTTATTGTTTCATTAGCAAGCATGGAATCGTGACTGTCAAAAATTTTCTTAAAATTAAAAGCAAAGAATAACATCATTAAAAATCTGAACTCAGTGGCGCAACAGACCCAGTGGGCAACATCCTGCAGTGCCTCGAAATTTCCTTTCTTGACCTGGACCTCGGAGTGCATCAGCATATGCCTTGGGCAACTGTTCAGAGCCCCAGGTGTTTAGCCCTCAAGCGAATTTGGTACTCAATTTATCGATCCACTGAAGAGATGAAAGGCTGAGCCAACCTTGTACTGCTCGGTATCGAATCCTGGACCTGTGACCTGTTGTGGTGACGCGCTAGCCACTTCGCCATCGGGCGGTCATAACATCATTGGCCTAGCTGATTTTATGATTAACATATTGTTGAGTTTTTTCTTTTCTGACACCAGTTGTTAAGTTATTTTCTTCCTTCACGTTCGTACGGGGTTTGTAGATTTGGAGTGAATAACGACGACACTTGATGAAGTATCGAAACACACTTTATTTATCCAATATTAATCAGGACAGCTCCAATAGCACTTTTTACAGTCGTCGAAAATCTACTATAAACACCCTGGAACTATCAGCGCCACAGACTTCAGGTTATCAGGCTATCACGGTGGAGATAGCTTCACGGCAAAGCACTAGAGTACAGCGGTCGTTCTGGGAACTCCACGTACTCTCCACGATGCACTAACGGCGATACACTAAGAGACTCCTTCGGTGAACTCGACGACCCACTCTGCACTCGCTGCCCGGCTGTCTAAGAAATCATGGGATATTTGGAATAATCCTCAAAACTTTGGTTTGAAGAAACGAAACTATTTTAGCACTTGAAATTATATTCTATACTTTCTCAAGCAAGAGCGCTTGCGCCGCCCGACCGAGAAAGTTGTTAGCGATACTAACTACAGTGCCGAAGGGCCGGTTCAAATCCCGAAGAGAGCATGTATGTTTCTAAACGTATAGTGTCCGTGCGGCACAGGGAAACTCTAAACATACGGCGAGGCGAAAGTCCTCTCAAAAAGTTGGAGTTAGGGAAAAAGGGGTGTGGGACACTCGACCTTTCCCCGGGGTGCTCTTCATTAAAACTGGGGGAAGAACTGAGCAAAGTCGCACTGTCGCCTGTATGGTGCTCAAAGTTCTTCCAACGACAGGCGCAATCTTGCACTCCTTGCCTCGATGAATTTCATGGGCTTGCTCTGATGTTGTGAGAGAGGTAATTTCTCACACCACGCAATTTATCATCATCGCAAGAGTAATCGTAATCACGGAACTGCACGTGTGTATATAAACACCGGTCAAATTGTTTTTTTTTTCTCTCTTTGCCTTTTCCTTCCTTCTCTCGCTTGGCTATCATCGAACCCGCACGATGTACGTTGCTTTGCCCCTGCATATCTCGCTGATGGAGTTTCGTCGTTCCTGCATATTCGTTCATGGAGTGTAGTCGTTCTTTTGCATGAAAAGAAGCAGAGCTAAGAGATTGCAATGCTTAGATGAAAATACTTAGTTGCCGTGGTAGCGTTAAAATACATCTCAAGCAGATTATCAGTATGTGTTCGACTTAAGAAAGTGCATTGTCAGCGGTGTGTTTCTACGTGGTGCTTTCAGTGTGTTAACGAAATGTGAAAGAAGAAAATAAGATCTTGCACGTGTGTAAAAATATTGTGGGCACTGTGGGCACGTAATTAATATAAAATAAATTATACTGCATATATGAGAGCAGACTGTGATTTGTTTTCGAATAGTCACTTTTTCGGCGATCGGTCTACTGTTCCATTTTAGGTCTCACGTTTTGTATTCTATGTTATTATATTCTGTTATTTGTATCTGCTATGTGATCAGTGTTATATATTTAATTCAGAGAAGTTTTTTTTTGATAAAATAAATGTGAGATTAAGAAAAAGAAATTTGTCTCCGCAAGTCTCATTCATGTGGGTTATTGGGTAAGTAAAATATTTAATATTTCTTGATACTAGAGTTTTATACGCAATGTGCTAACCACTTAGAATTCGGACCAGTAAATACTGGGCACGTGTAAATTGAATAGGTATTTCTAGGTATATACTTAATTAGATTGTCACGTTTCAACACCACCTAACGGTGTACACCCCTACAGGTGTTACTGTCAGACAAATGAGATATATACCAACAGAGCGCTTACAGTATGACTCACTGCAGGACTTTAGCGTTTTCCGTTTGAGAGTACCGTTACACTTTCTTTTACTGTTTTTTGCCCGTGTAAACATTAATAAAATTAATATTGAGCTTCCTTATAAGAAATTGCATTTATCGTAGACTGTTCTCAGGAAAACAATGTTACTGATTTTGTTTATAACAGCAAGTGAACTAGATCTGCAGACTCACTTATGTGTCTGACGTTTGTAGACAGACCATTAAACAGTCCTTCTGACCGGCCAGGATTTTCGCTAAGAAAGCACAAATTTCCCAAAACTAGAATGAGAAAAAATTATTTTCTTGATTTTAATGTAAAAAAATCCTGATATTTTATACCTGTATTTGTGTACTTTTAATATATTGCCTTAATTTCTTTGCAGTATTTTAATATGCACGTATATATACGTTCCTACAGATATCACAAAAATATTCTATGCCGTACATGTACGGCCTTGCCGCTTAAAGGGTTTTAAATACGTTTATTTATTTCTTATTATGTATGAAATTAAATAGAATTGATCAAAATGGAATGCAAATGTGTAACTGAACTTATTTACGCTGTTGCACTGATAAACAATGCAAAGAGTTTCCTTGAAAATAAAAAATCACTGTGTGTTGTTCTGATTAATATCACTTATCTGCCAAATATCATGTCCATCAACTTTCACGTTGCGAAGTCCTTGGTTATGAAACCCTATGCTATTATTATTATTATTATTTTAGATATACAACAACATTAATACTATAAAAAAGTAAATTTAAAGAGTCTAAAAGGTTAAAGATTTTAACAATCGCCGAAAAGGGTTTGTTAAGTCATTTTATAAAAATATTAAATGTTTCTAATTACGCATCTCATGATTTTAGTACATGTTTACTTAAATAAATCACATTAAAATTTCGGAAACACAATTGCTCATAAGAACCGTGTTTATTGCTTTTAAATTACTTAGTTTATTACTTTAACCTTCCAGGAGGAAAGTATCTTAGTCTTTATTAAATGGCAACAGCTGCGAGTAGAAGATAAAAGCATTTTATTTCTGGCCGCCGCATCACATTGTTTTCAAATAGTCCAGTTTCTTAATTAATATGAAAGATAAATATCCTACATTTTTCCAATGGCAGCAGTATCTCGCGCTGGAGAAAAAAAAATAAATTTTATTCCGTACAGTGTTGCCACTGTTAACATTCACATCTTTGATTCATTGATCTTTGATCATTTGAATCAAAAATTCATTAAAGGTTTTCAAAATATGAAATATAAAATTCGAAACTCAAAATTCGAGTTCTGAACATGTTCAGGTGCAGGACAACATTATTTAAAACTTAATGGCTCTTGTACCGTCGTTTTTCCACAATGCGAGGAGCATAAATATATACATGCAGATTTTTCACGATTTAATTTCCTTAAAAATAATACAGGGCATTAATATTTGGTGGCAACAATATGAAAAGGAATACACTATTTATAGTGAACCAATGCAAAATGCCATTTCGAGACTAATATCCAGTTTTGGGATAATATGTAGAAATTTAGAAGACTTAATTCTACCTTGATTAGGTAAGGAAAATGAGAAGCCATTCATTTAGCACCCACGAATCTGCAAATTACTAAGACGGGGTTTTGAGTGTCTGCTTTTATGATGAGCTTTTAATTCTTAAATATAATTTAAAACCGTTTATGAGAAAACAAATAAATAAAGAAACATAGTCAGCTTTTATTAATTTTTCTTTTACTTTAGCTGACAGCTGCTAATTATGTAGCGAAGTTGGCAAGAAATCGCCAGATGTCTGTCGGTAGCAGCATTTTCCACATCTCTGCTTCTACTTTAAGTATTCTGACAACTACAATTCCAATCAACTCAGAATTAAAATAAATACAACATAATACAAATTTTAAATGTGCTGTAAATTCAAAACTAAAAAATACACATTAGATAAACTTAAAATTATTATAAAAATTGTAGTGAATATATAAATAAAAACAAATTCATAAGAGTATTAAGGTAAAATCCAAATTATAAATAAATAAATTCAAACATTTGCAAAATTTTACAACAATATTACGTAAATGCTGTATGTGGCTTTAAAATTTTACATAACACAGAAAAATACAGATTTAATAATGAAGAAAAAAATGTTTCGTACTTTTTTCAGCTATGAGTTTCATGTCGTTCAAGTTACAAGCAGACGGCACACAAAGTCCAAGACGGAATTTCAAGTAGTAGAATGCCATGCCCCCTATTTTTACTTCTTCCGCTATCTTTACGAAATAAGCAAGAAATAGTTGTCATTTGCGCAGTATCAGAAAATAATACGTAAAAATAAGAAATCCTAAGAACAACAAATAATCAATTAAGAACTTAATTCGCTTAAATCACTAAACCTTTACGAAATTTTAATATACGTCTGGCTTTATATATATTTTATTTCGACAAATACCCAACCGATTCATAACTTTCAAAAGCTTCAGTTGTGAAGAAGTATTTAAGTTTGCACAATAGCTTATTTTTTATTCCACATTTTTGACCCACTTATGGTGCTGCTTATAATCGAGATAATGAAAACTTTTAAAGTAATTTAATGTCATACAAGTAAATATTTGGCCCTTTTTGATTATCCGAAACCCCGCCAAAAATCGCGAATAAGTATTCATGACGCAAAGAGTATATTGCCAAAATACGCATGAATACGCTGTAACCCAAGATGTCGCCAAAGAATACTAATATGGCAACCCAACCATGCGCTTTATTATTTTAATTGAAGCCCAATGCAGAAGCTGTGCGGAGTCGAATTTGTGCAATTCTCTCACGTTTTAAGCAAAAACCATCTGGAGAATAACGATTCAAAAAAGAAGGATTTCTAGAAAAGTGTTTCATTATCAATATTTCTTGCCTTTTTTAATTTTATTCACTGATCACTCTAGTATGGCATTCTTAGAACGCCGCCATTTTGGAAATAGCTGTTGCCTTTCGCGCTTGGCGAAAAATTCGACGGGGTGGGCGGATAATCTGAAAGTACCAAATCTCTTTACTTAACTTGTATTATAAATACTGTAATCAATGCCTTCATTTGAAACTACCAGTCGTTGAATCTGTTCTTCACTTGAAACTTCGTTATCAAGGCCAGAGTCCTAGATGTTTCAGTACGAGCTTGTGCAACATGCCTAGCATCGTTTACTGAACAGTCCAACGCGTTGTCAATCGATGTGACTTTAAACTTTCGGTCACCATTTTTTACCGGATTTGTTTCCATGAAGCTATAATCCATTCACGCGGTTTAAAATCTTAACAGTTATTCCCATTCGGCATAATTCTTAAATGTGCATCGGTACAGCAAATGAGAGAGGAGCCTGGAGTACAGACCATCTATTGTTCTTGTGACGTTGAATCTTTGAACGCTGTTGTTAACATTTTATTGCGTATTTATTTTGCAGTATCCAGCATTTATTTGCATTCCTTTCAAATTCTTTTAATCATATTATGAAGTATCATTAAGTTTTTAACGAGTTTTTTTATCTTAAATAGTTATCCTATCGCTCTAATTTCCATTTCATTGCCAGAATGTAAGTTTCTAGCTCCCACAATATTCAAATGAGGTAGAAAGTAGAGAGTATTTAAAGGAAAGTTTTATAGGGTAGAGCGCGTTCTGCCTGCTTGAAGACCACGTTGCTAAATTTGATTCCCTAGTGATTATTATTTTGCGGTGTTGAGTTATTCTTGCCATTCGGCTTGTTTACGCCGACTTCGGTTAGAGCAAATTTGCGCGTTGGTTATACAGTGAAGTCATTAGGTCATACTTAATTTCTTTAGTTTTAGTTCATCCATTACGTTTGATTTAAGCCAAAACTGTCGGTTTCTGTAAGCATGAGTCGGTGCCGACTGCTAAACTTTATTTGAGTTAATAAAAGGGTCCTTCACACCGTTTCCCAATCTCTATGGTACTTACAAGACATAGTGAAAATTCATGTATAGTCTTTTACAGTTTGGGTCTATTTTAAGCAAGAAGATCAAACTCTGCTGTCGCTCTAGATTTAAAAGGTGGTGGACGACAATTCGTCACCACAAGGATTGGGCGACAGGGCACTCTCATCTCCAGTCGCCATTTAAAACGGGGGGGGCGCGGGTATGTAAGATATTTTTCAGGCCTTTCCGTATGCCTTCGTGGTGTATCTGGAAGCACGCTCGACGCATACTCGAGAGGTCCAGAATTCGAATACCGGCGAGGGCACTACACACTTTTCCACTTCTCTAGTGTCAAAAAGTGTCAATTTTATCCTACCTCTGTGCAACGGCTTTTTCGAAGTAGTCCTGTAAGTTCTTCATTGCGTTAAAGATCGGGAGATTTTGCTACCCATGCTATTCATTGAATGTCTTCACTTTCAAGGAAATCCTCAACGAGGTTTGCTCGACGTGGATGAACATTTTTTTAATAATGGCCGGGCCCTTTATTTAATCTCCATTAGCCTTGCGCCACTACAAGGTCCGGAAGGGGTGGCCATTTCATTATGAAAGCACTTAATAGGTGACCACCATTGCCTCCTATGAAGAGAGGGACATAATTACGTACTACATAAATTTTTATATGAATAACGATTTAAGATACCTCTTTCTTCTAAATGATTTCATTTATGTTTTAATTCTACTCTAAAAACACTAACTACGATACGGATGATAATGGGTGATTTTAATCTGCGCTCTCGGTGTCTTAATAGAAGTTATGAATGAAGGTGATCAAGTGGATTGTTTAAATGAGTTCAAGAATCGAATATTCTAACCGGCCAGTGAAGAGAAACATGTAAAATAGGCTAACTAAGCAAAATATGATCCTTCTGCCTGTCAAGAAAAGCCAAGAAAGATGCCGATTTTCTTGATAATTGGTCGAGAATAATTTGAGTGGATCATAGCCAAAAATGTTACTTGTATTATGAGAAAGAGATAAAGAAAAAAATTATTTAAAATTAATTAATTTAATGGACATGGATTTTCATATATGTATAATGTCCGTGCGGCATGAAGCCCTCTAAGTATGTGGCGAACCGAAAGTTCTCTCGTATGGTCTGGTGGAAGGGGAAAAGTGTGGAAGACCCCTGGACCACTCCCAGAGGTGATCTCTCTCAAAATTTTGGTGGAAAATAGAAGTCCGACCTCTGTTTAGGGTAGGCTGTGGCAACCATTGTTACATGTACTATGGAGACGACCACAACAACAATTATTTGAATTTGTTTAGTCTTTTCTGTCATTCTTGTTTCACTCGTGTTTCCTCGCCAGAATGTAACTGAGTTAGGGGGAACGAAAGTGTATTTAAACTAAAAGATTAGACAAAGGGTGTTTTCGCTATTTGAGTGCACACGTAGTTGTTTCTACTCGAAATTTAATATCACGCCAGGGTAGGTTTCTGAATCAACCTTCTGGGTTAAATTCATTTGTGTAGTCTTGAATTACTAGCTTAACTTTAAATTCAGTTTATTTTAGGATTATTTTTAGTTTTATCACCACGAATGGACGGTGGACTTGTAAGGACAAAGACTGTGCCACCTGTAACCGAGTTCAACAAAAGGGTCTTTTACACCTTTCCCGTGTAGTATTCTTCTAGTCTTAGCGATAACTTATTAACAGACTTTTAATTCTAATAGCAGCGTGTGCAAGCTAAGAAGACTAAATCTTACGGTCTGTTATGTATAAAAATCAAAATGCAATATTACGTTCATAGCAAAAAAAAAAATAACTTATCTTACATTTCAGTGTATTTTTATTATTAAATCTGGGGGTGTTTTTGATACATAATTGTAAAAAATAATATTAGTATTACGGTAGTCTAGTTTCGGTGCAAATCAATCTTGAAGTTTATTCATTCATTTTTCAATTTGTTTTTTAATTCCTATGACAATTTTGGCTTAGTTCTGGCTTAGGTTTCGACTTAGATAGATTTGTATCTATAGATCTCTGCAATTTACTGATTTCTAATGTTTCTGTCAATAATCTTCTCAAATACAGTTATCGCTATATTTAGGTGGGTAACATATATCATTTTTCACAATATTGCGCGATCTTTGCTGAAGCTTTTTGCGTCGCAATGCGTAATTTAAGTTGCAGAATCCAGTTTGTGTAAAGGAAATAGAGATTTCTTATTTCAAAATACCGCTATTTTAAAAAAATCAAATTACACATGCATTATTAAAATCATAATTTCTAATTTTAAGTCTATTATATCGTTTTCTAACGTGTTTAGAAGATATTCAAACTACGTTTCACTCTCAAGACTGGTTTTATTTTGCCTTTAGGGCTGTTTGAAACATGAATTCCATTAAAAGATCACGGCAGAGGCCATTTATTTTTTTTTTTTTATCTATCTTGCCTTTTTTTTTTTTTTTTTTTTTTTTTTTTTTTTTTGGTCTAGCCATTAATCACAGTCCACGAGCAACTCTACATGTAGACTGTAAAAAAAAAGTAAATTGCCAGCTAAATATATTTAGGCTTCTAATGCTTAATGCATCTGCCATTAAACTTGTAAAGCTTCTACTCCTGCTGCATTTGAGATTGTAGAATGAGTGCCACAGTTTAATAGAAAGTATGAAGTTTTTAAGTTTATGCTATTTTTCCGTTTTTAATGAATAGCAGGTTTTTCTAGTTAATTAATATTTAAATAGTTTTTAACATTTCAGTCGTGAAAAAATGTAATAAAAATTATAGTTTCTGAAAATTAAATAAAGTTTAATAATACATAACCTAATTAAGATTAGAAAAATTCATAATAAACATAAAATAAATTTCATGTTAAAAGAATAAAAAAAAATTCACGGTTCCTTTTTAAATTTTAAATTTTCTTTTCAATGTCAGGAACAGATGGAACTGTTTTGAGTGCTACGGCCGATTTGGAAAAGGTTCTGCTACCTTGTTTTAAGCTGGTCATTGTTTATTTAGACATAGTTGATGCTTGGAACCCTTATGAATTTGTCTGTATACCATGAAGAATGTGTGTATATACGATGAATTTGTGCGTATACCATGAATATTCTTCAGGATAACAGGATGCCATGTAACGATATAAGTGAATAGTCACTGCGTCTCCGGTACCTTTTTGCAAGGCATCGGCACCTTTTCGCAGGTTGGTTTTTTGTTTGCTAAGATGTAGTAGATGCCAGGCATCCTTACGGATTTCAATTTATGCCATGAAGAATGCAATATTTATTAAGATGGAGGGAAGCCTATATGAAAAACTAAGTGAATTGTCACTGACTTGAATAAAGGTACAAGCACCTTTTTGCATGCTGGTCCTTGATGGCCAAGATAGAACAGGTTCCAGGCATCCTTATAAATTTCGTTTCATACCATGAAGAAAGCAATATTCATAGAGATGGCACGATGCCCATGCAAAAATCTAAATGAATAGTCACTGACTTGAATGAAGGTAACGGCATCTTTTTGCAAGTTGGCTCTTGTTCGCCAAGCTACATTAGGTGTGAGGCATCCTTATAAAGTTCAATTTATACCATCAAGTGTGCAGGTTTCATTAAGGTGTCGGGAAGCTCGTGTACAGATCTAAGTGAATAGTCCGTGACTTACGTAAAGGTATCAAAATTGCCATGATATCATCAAAGTGACCGAATATAAACATTGTTTACTTTTTACTTCCTTGTACGAAGTAAAGTTTTGGTAATCGCAAAAAGTATCAGGCAGCATATTTCAATGAAAATATCCATTTTGACCACTATCGAATGCAATTTAACTATGTTTTTGCGGCATGACATCTTTACGTAAGGCCAAAGAAAAAAGCTTCTTCCCCAAAAAATTATAAAACTGATTTAAAATTAATTCTGAAGATAATTTTGCATGGCGTCAGTGCGTACATACGTACGCAACTCGCATAACTCAAAAACGAGTAGCCTCAGAACGTTGAAATTTTGTATGTATTACTGCTATAATTTGTAAATGTGGACCTCAATATTGGTTGCAAATCCGCAGCATATCCACTCTGTTACCCGGCTCAGTGAGCTCAGTTTCTTTATTCTTATATGTTTGTAAATTGTGCATTCTTTGCTTTAAAAAATGATTGAATTATGTTGTTCTTATCTTCCGGTTAAGGTTTTTATGCCTTTAGTAAATTTGCGGTCACTATTTGTAGAATTATCAACAATTTAAAAGTCGTTTAAGTACGGCTAAGCCTAATTTTTGATTACCATGGTTGTTTACATTTGAAACTTAGCAGAATAGTGGATTTGTTGCCAATCTAGAGAAAACTGGGGCTTCGGAAGAACAAAGATAACGCCTTCACTTATTATTGCGAATTAAATTATGCTTAATCCATTCTGGAATTTATTCTAGGAATTAAGTGTTTAAGATTTACTTCGCAATTTTCAGTATAGATATTTTGATTTTCTATGTATTTTTTCTTGTCGGGAAGTGAGAACTGAATTAATTGAATGAGAAATACTGAATCGTCTGCAAAATACTGTTTACTTTTTTTTTTTTTTTTTGTTTAATTTCTTTTATACATCGTTTTAGATTTATTATGGTATTTGAATAGACCATGTGGCAACGATTAGATAATTCTTCAGATGTATCAATTTTGTGCATTCTTAGTTATAAAATGAAGGAAATGTAAGTCTGCTAAGGGAACCTAACGCCAGAGTGTCGCTATAGTAAACAAATATAGTGAATTTTAAGTAGGCATTTATTCTGCTGTGGTTTATGCGCTATCGACGAAGTAAATTTAATTCAATCCAATAAATTTAGAGAAATATGATAATTCTATACATATTGTATAGTATTCTATATAATTGTCTTTAGAAACTCAGTACCAATTTTTATTAAAAATCTCTACAGATATAGTTCTAGAATTTGACACATAACTCTGTAAAAGCTATTTCTAAAATATTATAGAATTCTATGCCAGATTTTTGATACAGTCTATGGAAGATTGGACCATATTTCTAAAGGATTCTAAAAACATTTCGGAATTTTTATAGTATTCTATAACACGTTTTCGTAAGGGTAAATTCTTAACAATCAAATAAGATTTTGAATATACTCTGCTACACACGAAGTATTTAATGAAATTTAAACTTCTAAGCTCTGCTTTTCAATATTATCTTCTTATTAAAAGAATTTAATTAAATTTGGCATGCACAAACTCAGGAACGAATGCTTCAACACAAGGCCAGCGTTTCTTCTATCTAGTATTCAAGGTAAAAAATTATATTTTCACAGGGGAAAGAACATTGAAGGTCAGTAACGACATTCGCAGTTTACTGAAATTAATCAAGAGGAAAGTTTTTTTCCATGATTAAAAAGGGCTGATCAAAAATGCGTGAATAAGAATATAATTAAAAATAACTTACACTGTCTAGTGGCTGTGCGTGTCTTTGTTTGGCAAGTGAAAAGTTTTTCGGAATGGGTGGCATCAGCGGATTCGCTTCCATAGCGCAGTATTGCCCACGAAATTCCACCTCGCCATTTTTCTTGGGAAGAATAATATCCAGGCACTGATCAAAGGCTCCGAAATCTGATAATGTTCCTTCCAGTAAACCAGCTGGGGGTTTAGACATGGAATCGAACACTGTTGGAATTAAAATCGAATTAAAAATCAAATATAGAAGCAATCAAAAGTTTTTCAAATTAATATACTATAAATTTTTAGAAGCACATCTTCTTCCATAACGTTTATTATTACAATATATTGACTTCATCTGTATCATTTATTTTTTTTAGCATCTGAGAGGCTTTATACTGTCGCTCATCACTTTTACAGTGTATGACATTACAAATAAAATTTGTGGATATACATAAAAAATTTGACTATGCTTGTGATATGGATTTGCTAAGAGAATCAATGTTACTGAAACTTCTGTAAATATTTGAATTCTATCAATGACGCTTATAACACACACAAAGTAGATAACTTATTTTTATAAGGCTTATCACGCAAACAATTTAGTAGCCTTTTTAATGGTTACTATTCATAAGCCCATTTCGACATTTATATTTCACACTTCTAAATTAGTATAGTTCCATGTTACTTTATTTAAGTTACAATAATATTGAAATATTGTTTCTAGACGGTAATAATTAAATTCTAATATTATATATATATATATATATGCACTTTTGGTAAAATAGTGAATTAGGTTAGTTGTGCACCAACTTCAGGGTCTTTTTGCCCAGTGAGACCAAAATATGCCTTTAAATATTTGTGCACGGAGAATTTTGTCTTTCTCTCCGTTAGCGGAATTGCTTGTTTTTGAGTACAAACTTTAATTTTAATATAAAAAACTGTTTGTTTAACAGTTTTAAATGTATTCGGCATTTTAGGGTTTTCAGTATTTTACAATTTTTAAGCCGCCTACCGGTTCATCTTTATGGGCGCAGCCCCCAGACCCTCTGGCCGATAAAATCAGACCTATGGTTAAAGAAGGACAGACCCCTCCAACACAGAAACGAGGAAGCCAGCGAGCCGACCGTGATTCAAATTATTTTAAGTTATTTAATATCCATCATCAAAAGCCAGCATTCTTAATCAGATCTTAATTACAGCTCCGAAAAACCAGGCCCGAGTAACAAAAGAGTTAGTATAACGAAACATAACAAACTTAAAAATACAATTTCAAATGGTTGCAAGCTTTAAAATCTTTTTATTAAACTCGTATTCACACCTTAACTAACATAAGGAAATAATAATTTTGGACACGGTTAGTTAAACACATATTTAAAACGCCATATAATCATACATACTCCTAATAACATCAAATCAAAACTTCTGCTCTTTTTTTATTAATTTACAACTCCAATTAAGTCTTTGTTACTATTAATTATTTTCATAATCTCACTTACAAAATTTTTCAAAATTTCATATTTAACATTCATACATTTAAAGTTTACATTTTTATATCTAGCCCTCACACTCTGTGTTAACAAACAATTCTCTACGAAGTTTTCTGTGTTACCTATGGTATTACATATGAGGCAGTTCTGATTGCCCTGGAGGTAGAGCCGACTCAAGGGCTCTGAAAATCTTCCATGGTCAGTAATTAATTAATTGACATCTATGTCGTCATATATTTTCATTCTTTTCGCAATACTTATCTTTTCAAGCAATTTTCTTCTTCTTTTAACTGACTTCCAAGAGTCGTTCCATTTTTCAAGATGATAAGTTTTGACCTTCGTAATGATTTTCTTTCTGGCAGGTCTGACATTATAAAAACTGCCATCACCCAGGACGGCCTCTTTTGCCAATGCATCCGCCCTCTCATTATCCTGATAACCCACATGGGCTTCCATTGTAAATGAATACTATGTATTTTACTTGGAGAAGGTATGGATGTCTGTAAATGCATAGTAGTGCCTATGAGGCATGCGGTCACTCTAAATATGCGGCGGTTGGTGGTAGAGGGAAAGGGGTGGAAAGCCCCCTAAGACCCGTCCCCCTGGGTTGCTCCATTAAAATTAGGGGCGGAAATGAGCTAAATCGCAGAGTCACCTGTAAGGTGCTTAACCCATAACAAATATTAAATTAAGCGTTTATAACATAAATTTACATTGAAAATTTTTAAAAAAATACTCTTACCTGTGGAAAAAACGAGTGTTGCGTTCGCGCAACGTCAGCGGAATAAGACTACGTATGTTCAGTGAGTAGGATCGTACTTGTGCGATGTTTCCTTTGAGTGGAGCACTGGATTACTCTTTAGCTGTGTAACGTTTTATAAATCTATAAATCACTTTACTTGTAATATATTTAATATTAAAATATATATTATATTTCTTTTACAAATACAGATTATTTCAATTGAAAGATTCAAAAATGAAAAGCTTCACTACAATCATGATGTAAAGCTACATTACATACTTTAACAAGTCTGGCTATGGTTATGGCTTTAGCATCTATAAACAGTCTGGCTATGGCACTCTTCACTACGAAGTCTTACGATAAAATGTCTATCATCTCCATGCAGTGGTTTTTTGAATGCTGAATTTACTAGGTCTTCAAGTTGCTGATCTATTTCTGGCTAATTCTACACTCTGAATAGAAGTTTGCAAAAGGAATAAAGCAATCTTGCGCCTGAAATCTAAAAGAGACTTTTTATTTCCAGTAATAGAAAATTGTGATATTTAGTAAGTTTAGATACGATCTCACCCTATGTAATGTATCAATATTGTCAGTTTGACTATTGTCAGCTAAATGCAAATTCTGCTTCATATTCCTGTACTGCAAACGTGATATCGATTCTCGTATAATAGGAGCAGAAATGTCCTTATCAAGAGACCAATACATTTTTTCTTGATTTAAAAAAGGATATCCCGTAAGCAATAATATTCCAATAAATCTTCCTATATAGGCTTCAGATGCAATAAATTCTGGGAGTTTTTTTGCAGAGCGTATATATTTGTCTGTTCAACGAGAAGATAGTAAATATGTAAACCAAAAAGAAAATCGCTCAACTAGTTTTACATTGTATTTTGTCTTTTGTAGTTTCTCTTCTATCTCTCTTCCTGAGACATAACTGACGGTTCCTTTTTTATCCATTTCAAGTTTTCAGTTTTCTGCTTTTTAAACTTTTTAGTATGACTACCACTGCTTTTAGAAGGCTGAAACTTACTTCTACGTGAATTTTCAACTTCCCCAGCAATATCATTTGGTAAAATATCATTATCATTGTTTAAAAGATTGTCATTCCCTTCTTCTTCATCACTAGCTTCTGCAATTTCTGGGGGGAACAACAACAATATCAGTTTCATTCTGGTCATTATTAACATTATCAAAATCTGTATCTTCATCAAAAAATCTTTGAAGGGCTTCTTCTAATGTAAGATACCTCTATAGGCATTTTTAAAGCAGCCAGAACATGAACCAGAACATCGAAAGGAATGAGTAAAAAAGGAGATTACCCGTTTCTTGCTGACGTTGCATCAGCGCAACACCTGTTTTCCCTTCCTTCCCAACACAAATATAAACATCTGATTGATATAATGTTCTGATAAATGGTGAACTTGACTAAAAATAGATCACTCATAAGGACGCCGATTCTTTAATTACATATTTTCGGCAAAAATACCAGGTCGAAAATTTTGCTTAAAGTATGAGATTAATTATTATAAATAAAATGATTGTTTGGAGAATATTTTTTTACAAATATGATATGAAGGCAAATATTTTTTTACAAAAATAATCTTCATATTATTCCCTACATAAAATCACCTGCTGGTATAAAATATCTTAGGTAGTTATATTTATATACGCATTTATTTTGACCGTTGCGTCAACGCAACACCAGCGGCTAATAAGTTAAGGCTGTTGCCAACGACAGACGTAAACTCCCGCTTCTTGCCACTCCCGCTTTCCGCCACGAGGAATTCCGTGGGCTTGGGCCGACTATAGGTCAGACAGAGAAACGAGCATTAGCAAGAACAACAGACCTCGCGCTTAATGTGGCTACATGTGCAATCAAAGGTATTGGTATGAGCGCCAGTTTCGGCTTCTTCGGTTACCTAAAGAAAGACAAGTAGAAAAGAAAATTATTGAAGCCTGCCTGGTGTATAAAAGGTTCGCAGTGAAGCCCGCCATTCAGATAACGTGTCAGTTACCAAAAGTTACCGAGAGATCGTGTAGTCCAAAGTAATCCTTTCACAGTTGTAGGTATTGACTTAACTGGAGGGGTTATTGTTAGAGAAGAGGCGGAGATCCACAAAAAAGGGTGCACAGCTTTCTTTGCATGCGCCGTCACTCGTGCTGCACACATTGAAGTAGTTCCAGATATGTCAGCAAAAGGTTTCATTTTTTCATTACGACGTTTTATAGCTAGAAGAGGGAGCTGCAAGGTGATTTATTCCGATAATGCCAAGAATTTTCGCAGCACATGTGAAATAATTAAGGGATTTAAAAGAGTCAGCTTAAATACTACTGTGCGAGAGTTCCTTACACCCGAAGGAATTACATGAAAGTTCATCCCTGAGCGTTGCCCATGGTGGGGAGGCTTCTGGTGGGGTATGATGAGAAGTATCAAAGAACTTCTGAAGAAAATCTTAGGGAGAGCATTACTGACTCTCGAAGAGCTCTACACCAATATGAACTGAACTCGAGTGTGTATTAAACAATAGGCCCTTAACATACGAGAGCAACGAGCTGGGTGTACCTCGCCCGCTCACACCTTCACACTTTTTACTGCCAGGACGTGACACATTTAACTTTCCAGCATTTTTTGGAAATTATTAACAAGGTGTCAGACAAAGAGACTTTAACTAGAACTAAGCTTTACCAATCTAAGCTCTTAAAATTAACATGGATCAAGTTCAAAGAGCAATATTTACTACACCTTAAAAACTCACATAACATTGCTAATCCTTCAACTGAGCGTAACCTTAAGACCTGGGGATGTTCTATTGGTAGAATGACAAAACCAATCTAAGCTACTCTGGGATATGGGAGTAGTTGAAAAAGCAATCGTGGGACAAGATGGACATATACGAGGATACATCATTTGCACACCAAAGGGACAATTCAGAAGAGCTATCCAGCTTTTATATCCTTTTGAAATTTAATTTAAGACAATTGATGACTTT